TTGGAACTTACAGCAGATATCACCTTTAAAAATATTTAAAATTTAACAAAAAAAATTTAGAAAAAACAGGCATAATCGTGCTTCTCTATAAAATGAGGTATATTAAAAATCAGAAATAAGGTATTTTGATCTTTGTTACTGCTGACAATCAGCTTTTCTTTCATGGCACAAGTATGGTTGTTACTTAATATGCTTGATAGATGTACGCTTTTGGATATGAGCCAGTTTGTTTTTCACAATGGCACATTATCATTTGCGTTATGTTTGCTTGAGGTAAGATGATATTGTCGTCGATATAACCAGGGATTAGTCAGGGCTGGTATCAAAAACAGTTTTATTTTCGAACTTCTGGCAGAAGCGCAGAGTTTCTTGTTGTTCCTTTAGTATGCTCCTCTGGTAATAACCGGTAAGCAAACAGAATGTTTTATTTAGTATTTTAGAATTCGCGCCGACAATTGTTTAGGTTCCAATATCTTCCATATAACTTAGGCTAAGTATTTGTTTTCTTTTCAGTCTGACTTGGACTCACTCAGACACCATGATACTCACTTCGCACTTGTTCAAAGCGTTGATAGTTTGTGTTCCGTTCGTTCTTGTTATTTGCGAAGCAAGGAATATCTCTGAATCAGGTGAGCGTGAACCTACTTCGAAACATTTTCACTCGCAATGCCACGTTCCGAAAATCTTTCCTGAGCGAAATTTTTAAGTTTAAGTCAATTAATGTTGGCACGTATGACGCAGCGACAAGAACGCTCCACTCACTCAGATCGACTTCCACACCTGGATCGTATGTGAGTTGAATTCGCTTTTATTTTTCGTCGCTTTCACGAGGGTTTTTACCCCCTCGACAATAATCTATCTTCCAATTGTCAATTCGATCGAGAGAAAGTAGACGAAAAATCACCTCAGGGATTTGCTTTTCTTCATAGTTAATCCAAATAAGTTTTAATTCTTATGCCTGAGGAAGAGGATAGTTCTAATTTTGTGAAAAGCCATAAAATGACATATTGGAAGCACCAAAATGTGTTTTATGGCCCTGAATAAGTAGGGCGTCAGAGAAACACTCAATCTGACTTGTGTGGTCAATTATGACACTAAATACACTTTATCTGATTCGTGTAGCCAATCACAGCACAGGATATATATATACTTCATCTAACTCGCGAAGCCAATCAGAACACAGGATATGCTTTATCCAACACGTGTGGCTAATCGTTTTATTTTCATTTTCGTGGCGGGGAGAAAATTATGGAGGGTTGCTATTTATGGGCATTTCTTTTACAACAGCTCCTGACATTTGCCCCCCCGGATGGATGCGTTGGAATAACGCGTGTTACTACTTTGCAAATGATTCTGTCTCAAGCCGGGTCGCATGGCAAGACGCTAGACAGGCATGTCAGAGAATCCGTGGAGGAGACCTTGCCAGTATTCACAGTGCTGCGGAGAACGACTTTATAACACGCCATGTCTCAGGGTAAGAGCGGTCCAACTCCCTTGCTGAATTCTCACCAAATATGAAGAAGTCGAAAAACATAATTTTTGGAAGGGGGGTGGGTAAATATGTCTTTGCAAGGGAGTGTACCACTGGATATTGCGTAAAAGACTGTTGCAGCATTTTAGCAATCACTGGGAAAAGGGCAACCTAGTTTCACTGTGAGCAACGCTTACTGCTTAAACCGGAAAACGTTGCGAGACACATTAATCTTATACTTGTGCGAATGAATGGGCGCAAGAAGAAAACAAACATGCGCACAAATGTTTATTGTTATCAGATGGTTTCCTTGTGTTCAATTGACTATTAATTGAGTTTCATTTTTTACTTAAAAAAAATTTGCACTATGGGTATTGCTGATCTCATTGCGTTGAAACCTACATTATTAAAGCGTAAACCTAACTCCCAACTCGACCAACATTTGAGTTTTTTTTCAAAATCGTGCATGGAGAAAAGTCGTGCACCGTCTCATTGAATGAATCTGAAAATATGAATTGCTGGTTATGACCTGACTAAGTTCGTGCGTTGCATCGCACAACTCTCAGTGCAAGCGCACCTATTTCCTTTAAGCTGTCGTTTATCATTATTAAAATAATAGTCATTATGATTATTTTCATAATTATTCTTATCATTAATTTTATTATGTAGTGCTTGTTGGATTGGACTCAATGACCTCAGAGCAGAAGGCAATTTCCAATGGTCGGATGGGTCATCATTTGTTTACCAAAAATATAGCAACAAGGAACCAAATGATTTCTATGGCCAAGAAGACTGTATAGAAATTAGGGCGTGGTTAGCAGGTAGTTGGAATGACTTAAATTGCGGTATCGACCTGTGCTACGTCTGCAAGCAGATCAAGAGTAAGTTACCCACAGTATGCTAGCTGATATGTAAAACTTATCATATTTTGGGCTGGCACATTTTGTTCTCCATTCTCTTTAGTCTCTGTCAATTGTTCGTGTCAAAGTTCTACTCCAAGCATGTACGAACCTCACCGCAAGGCCTTATTTAAAATTTGACCCTTTACACCCTAACATCAGTATGCATATTCTCCATACTGTTCTCTGCAAATTTCCTAAGGTGCTGATAGGGGGAATTTGTTTAACAACCAAGAGCCTCTTTAGCTGATTCAGGGGTAATATTCCAAAGAGAAATTAGCTGCTAGTCAATCTTAGCGTTAAAAGGGTCTAAGTGCTATTGAGGAAAATTTTAGCTTTGATGTTTGATTTCATAAACGAATATTCACGGCAACGTCACTGATCACAAGATAACCTGTTTTATTATTAGACTTTATACCGGGTATGTAGTATATTTTGGGAAAACAACGGTAATTTCGTGAGCCTGCAAATACTTGAAAGAATTATATCCTTTCACATTTGGTTTGGAAAAATAAAGAAACATATTTCTAATATCACTTTTTGGTACAAGCAACAAAATTTGGTAAAATAAAAGCTACAGATATTCATCATATTTACAGAGTCGCCGGCATATGTATGGTCTTTGACCACGTTCTCGATCCCCTAGTAAATTCTGGCACTGAATTTTTACTTTTCACCCGCCTTTCGCTACCGGATACGTGACACCTTAATTTTTTTACCTCTCTCTTTCTTCAACTTCCCAACCGGTCAGGACCTCCGCTTTCGAGCTGCAAACCTCGCGACGACGTACATATTTCATTTGTTAGCACATTTAATTTTGAGAGGAATTTTTCCATATCGCGTAAGAGATAGGAGCCGGTAACTCGAATTTCAAGTTGTGCAATGCTATGCATAATATTCGTTTCGAAATACTGTTTTTTCCGTTAGTTTGAAGGAAGTTAGAATTCGTTTCAGTGGCGTTTTAAAAAGTATTCATGGATAACGGGGTCTCAAAACTTGTCTTTGAATTCCATATGCTTGCTATTCCGGCATAGTTTTTGTTCGGTTGGCTCGGAGCATTGCTACGCAATTAAAGTAACAGATGATCACCACATCACTGCCCGTCTGAATCAAAATATTCTATAAATTGTTTTTGTTAGAAAGTGACGGCTGATCAAAAGAGAAATTCAGCACAAACTATGTACTAAACGATATTTTTATGATGTGTTCCGCAGAAACCATCATACCAAATGTGAATCCTTTGGAACCTAAACCAAGTAAGTAATATCGACATTAGCTAGAGACACTGTGCATTTTGTTATCAATATTGTCACTATATTTGTGTTTGTAAACAAGAGCCAGAATACTTAGTTACTACTTTTGGTTTTCAATTGTCGGAATATCTGAGATGACAAAGGTATCGTACATAACAGTTTTCCAGTCATCTCCGATTTAGCTAATCCTGGAATGAACACCAAATTTTAAGGAGTTTAATCATCCGAGGAGATTTTGTCGCAAATGTATTAATTTATTTAGTTACGGTGCGAAATGTGGTACTACAGGATGAATTCGAAGCCCCGTCCAACTTTGAACTTTTCATGCGCTGAAATTTACCTCCTTACTGAGTTCATAAGTAGAAAGATGTTTGAATCGATGAAGTTTGACATGTTAATTTTGGTCGACCCAAGAATATTTTACGCGTGGAACACACGAAAGTCTGATTGTAAAGCAACTTCTAGAGCAAGTTTTTTTTTTATGAGCCAAACATAATGCATGAAGGATTACTTCGCGTCCCACAATTCTCTTCTCTTACTATATAGCACCAGTTTGACGATATATTCTTCTGTCGAACTTTTTCTTTTAGCCCCACCCAAAGATTTAAGTTCAGTACATGAAAGGTTTGAGATGGGTCAAGGTGATTTTTTTTTTTCTTTGCTGTGTTTAAGCCCATGGACGATGTGAGGATGGCTGGATGAACTATGAAAAGAGCTGCTACCGCAGCGTGTCAGATCCTCTTCTTTCTTGGCAGAAAGCAAGGGATGTTTGTCGAAATAACACCAGTATGCATGGAGACCTTGTCACAGTGAATAATCGGTAAGTACAATACATTTAATCAAATCTACCACAAATTCCGTCGAACATGATTGGTTATCACCAGCCCGATTTGAGCACTAATAGGACAATGTGCGCGTCATGCTTTTAATTGGACAGTTAAATCGTGATGACGGCGGCTTACTACCTGACGCCTATTTACAACTCGTCAGAAAAAAGGGAAGCTAATTAGTGAGCATATTAACAAAACGGACTCCCGATTCGCGGTCGCCCGATTTTGTCAATCACTCCCTATGATTACAGACCGAATTGGACTCCTCTTTGTCTTAGTACCATCATTAATCTTACAAGTTACGCATTTATACCACAGCTCTAGTCTGAACCTTCTACAGTTGGTTATTTTAGCTTTTCATTTTCCAGGCAAGAACAGGTATTCTTAAATACTATCACTCGAGAAACCAGCACTGATTTTTGGATTGGCCTTAATGACTTGATCTCGGAGGGCATATTCCTCTGGACAGATAACAGTCCTCGCAAATATACTTACTGGAATGTCAGTGAACCATCAAATAATGAACAGTCAATGGGTTGCGTACTCATGAATCCTCATCAAGATGAAGGAAGATGGAGGACTGCGTCTTGTAATCAGAGGAATGGGTTTATCTGTGAGACAGGTTTGTGAAGAAGAAAATTATTTTATGAACTGGCTCTAAATTACAAAGCCATCGAGGAAAAATGATGTCAAGTTAACGTAGGAAAAGAGGGAAATCTGACTTCCAAGTGAGAATTTGAACCCAACACCTTCCGATGAAAGGTCAGATGTTGTATCTTCGAGCTTTGAAAAAAAATCATCGGCCTAATAAGGTCTTGTGAAACGTTGGGGTCATAGGTGACACATGTCTTAGGCTCTACTACGATGAGCCTCTGTAAGTGCGTCCTGTAGGCAAAGGAGGTACGTATGGTATGTCACATTAGAGCGCTTTCGATTGAGCGTCGTGAAATCAAAATCAAAGCAATCTCAGCAGCTAAACTGGCGTAGGAAAAAAAATATCAAGAGGAACTATGCAGTGAGAACCTGAGGTAAAAACAAGCAAAATGCATGAAGCGCAGGAAAACGAGGGTGACCAAGAAGTCGCAATTGGTTTTAGTTTTGAATCTGATTGAGGTGTTTTCTGGACCAATCACATAGCGATGTAAAGCAAAAAACAAAGCAATCCTGGATCATTTTTGAAACTCAAATGAAAATTGCTCTATTCACACATAATTTATTGTCTTGGCCACCGGGTTTTCTTTGGTAAGGTGAGAAAATTTTTACATAACTTTAAGAAGAATTTTCTGACTGGCAGACATCCAGTTTTGGTATTTAAACGGGACGTGCTTGTTTCGTTTTATTTCAATTTGTTGGGCTTTTCTTCATACAAATCCCTCTGTTGTGAGACATGTTCCCTGCGTTTTTAACACGACTATAAACCCTATCTTGTAGCTAATATTTAAAATAGAAAGCAAGAAACAATACAAGAATGTGAAAAGAAAATGGGTGATTCGTACACAACCTGAGTAGGGGCTGCTTGAAATAATTGTTAGAGATATAGTCAGGCCATCTAACCAACATTACTGGTAGTTTGAATAATATAAGATTATGATCGAGTGATAAAAGCTCTACGATGCAAGTAATGGATAACCTTAAAAAAGACTACAAATGTATAAAAAAAAATAAGGAAATGGGTGAATTGGGCGGAAGATACATAGAGTTTGTTAGCTTATACTCTCGCTCAGAGTATGCTTTTTCAACTCCTGATGAAATTATTTTTCTAGGTTGTATTTCAAGGAAGATAACTTAGTTTATGTCATTAAGCTCACTCGAATATACTGAGGTTTTATCTTTGTTTTTTCATAGAGGCTCTTCCAATTCTTCCAACTCATGACCGACCGCCTGGTGAGCTTTTTTAATTTGTTATCAACGTAACCCTCCTAACGACGATTTAAAGGAAAGTTGAATTTAACCGTGACCGTTGATTGTGCTTTTTTCTTTTGTTTTCTTGTTGGTTCGCAACTTCGTAACTTGGCGCGGAAGTTGGTAAGTTCGGACCACATCTTGGTAACTTGCAATGGCAACGTAATGACTTGCGACTTGCGATTGCAACCTAAACTTGCATGGCATCACTTGGTGGCTTACAATGATAACATAGCAACTTGCAATGGTAACTTAGTAAATTGCAAAGGCAATTTACTACGTTGCCATGGTATTTTCGTAACTTGTCATTTGCAATGGCCATTGAGAACTTTGAAATGGCAATTTAGAAATTTGTCATCCTATTTTGGTAACTTGCAATGGACACTTAATAACTTGAAATGGTAATTTAGTAACTTGCAATAGCAATTTGATAACTTGCCATGGTATATCAATATCTAACAATAGCAACTGAGTAATTTGCAGTGGCAATTTAGTACTTTGCAAAGGCAATTTGCCTTTGTATTGTTGTACCTTGTGATGGCTATTTAGTAAATTGCATGAGCAATTTAGTAACTTGCCATAGTATTTTAGCAACTTACTTCAACAACTAAGCAATTTGCAGTGGCAATATAGTACGTTGTAATAGCAATTTAAGAATTTGTCATCTTATTTTAGTACCTTCCGATAGAAACTTAGTAACTTCTAATGGCAGTCTAATATCTTGACGTGGTATTCTTATAACTTGCAGGTGCAGCTCAGTAACTTGCGAAGACCCTTGATTAAGCAATTTGCTCTGGCGACTTATTGACTTGCAATGGCAATTTTGTAACATCCAGTGGCTATTTACTAATTTGTCAAAGCAAACGATCGCAAATCAATCACGTTATGCGTGGCGTGGCGAGAATTTTAGTTTATCGTCACACTTGCGTTTAAGATGCTCGTAAGGAAGTCGGATGACCAGACAATTTAGTTCCCTGACGGGGCGCACGACCGCTTGCCAAAAAGGACGAGGACTCTGCGAACGACATTGACAGCCTTCGGGACAATTTGTAGGAAGTACTTATCTCTAAATCTTATATTCTAACATTACGTCGGTGTTTTTTATTTTTCAGTATGGCTGTTTTGGTTAAGTCGTAGCTTATACTCAGCTACACATTACTGGCGAGTTATGAAACGCAAAACAGCAATTTTGCAGTGAATGCTTTTCAGCCTGTGAATGTAGCAAACGGGTCACCAGGTCAGGTTCATTGTTGGAGATTTCTTCAACATTTCCATCCATGGTAAAGGATTTGCGCATGGTCACTGCATTTTCTGAGATATCCGTGGCGACAAATGAAAATGGAGATAAAAAAGATCAAATTTTGATGAAAAGTAAATAATGTGGATACATGTATATTCCATTCAAATGTTATTATACGACTAAAAAGTTGCGTTATACAAAAAAATGCAAAATAGAGAGGAAAAAGATTTGTTGGCTATAATCACAGGAAATCCTTCGTCAAATGAGAAGGTTAAGACTTTGCCAGAGAATCTCCTTAGAATACTTTTCGTGGTTGTGAGATTTTTACACCGTGAACCTGTTATATATGTGTTTTATTTCCAGGTCCTCAATCCTCCGCGTTGGGAAATTGAAGAGGAGAATTAGATAATAAGGTAATTAAGTATGGAGAAGGAAAGGGTTGAATGGTGCATGGACTGTCACAGTGACATCTCTTTATGAATTCTTACCTCAGTTAGATATGATTAGTTTCGTTACTCATTCTTGGTTGGCTTACGCAAGCAATTTGCCGTTTTTCCCAAAAGATCGTGGACAAAACTACGCAGAAGCAGAGTATTAGAGACTTTAAGAAAAAAACGACGGCGACGATAGTGAGAAGGTGGCGAAATATAAGATTTCATGAACCTGAAAACTCGCTCAGCGCGCGCATTTAAAAACTTTGTAAATATCTTGGTCGTCGTTTACAAAACAACATCAGAAAATCTCCAAAATTTTGCGCAGTCTGAGAACGGGAACCCCTTGGGCAAATCATCCAACGCTCCATTCTCACGTTTTGCTGAAAGAAAAGGTCTGGCGCCGTTTAAGACAGCAAACATATCGCGCGCTACGCATAAAATACTCAGGAGAAACGGAAGTTCCTTTCTTTTTTAAGCGATGTTTTCCCAGGCATAGCTGTCGTGACTCCCTAATTAAATCTGTGGCAGAACGTAAGTAGAAAATTTATTTAAACACATCATAACCTCACGAGACGTTGACGAAACACTGCAACAATGTCGAAATTTCTATACCCATGCTTGAAGTACAATCTTAAATGAACACATCACAGAATGGTACTACATAGTTGTATATATCGAGACTGATGTGGATCGACTTAATATATTTGCTACTGATGGTCTTGGTCTAAGGTATGCCATTTTGATTTGAAGTCTCTAACTAATCCTGTTGATATTTAGATGATTCATTGGGCGCGCCTTTTGAGGCCCGAGTTTTAAATTTCAAGGTCTTTCTAGTCACAAATCACTGTAAAAGCTCTGCTGTGCATGCTTGCTTACAAGATGTTTTACATTTAAGCTTCAAGGACTTATTGAAAACCATATCAATGATAACATTTTGGCTTGCTTTTCAAATGATTTTCACGTGCCTTTTACTTGCACGTAAAACTTGTGCAATAGGTGTGAAAATCGTATTTAGACTTCCTCTACATTTTACCATTACAAGAGCCTGAGCACGTGCAGATGTGCGTCTAGGTTTTTTTAGGACTTCCGCCGCGTATTGTTGTCTATCATGTGGGAAGCTTTTCTTTGTATGAAAAAAAAAACCTGTCATTTTTTTCTCGCGACTCTGGCGAACCGATCTCATTATCAAACTGAAGTTATGTCATAGCCATGAACTGTAGTATGCATAAGAAAAGACTTTTCTTATGTACGTTGAAAACCTCGAAATGAACGACGCGCCAAAACGGCTTCTTTTCATCAAAGTAAACGGTCAGGTAACAAGTGATACGCTGTGAAGGTAAGGTGAGGTATTTTTATTGAGAATTTGACGTATTGTTTTATTCTTTAGAGCGGTCGTAAATATTCTCATACAAGCTTTTATAATATTCCGCTATGACTGTTATTGGGCAAGATGATCATCTCACAGCTGGAGCTTGGGCTGCCTGTGGTTATCTAAACTATTTGACAGTCAATTATCTCTTTTTCATATATTAAAGTTCATTGTATTATTATCTCATTTTCGTAAATGCTCTCAAAACGGGATAACAACTGAAGCTGTTAGAGGAAGCTGTTCGAGGAAGCTGTTCGAGGAAGCTGTTCGAGGAATCAACCAAAGTAGGAGTATTTTCATCGTCATGATACTCAGTGCGCTCTTGTTCAAAGCGATTCTCGTTGCTTTCCTTGGCTTTCTGGATAATTGGCAAGCGGATGCGTGTTCAGGTTGGTGTGAATCCACGTTCCTTCTTATCCGCTGTCAATAATAAGGGTATTGTTGTTCTTAGTGTATCCCTAGCCTTATTCGGGAAAAACATTTTAAAATCTCTCGTTATCACTAAATATTA